AAATTTCGGGCGAACACGAGACTTTACTTGAACTTGAACTCTACAAGACATCAGGGGACTTGAACTAGACATTAATGAACTAAGTGCAAACTTGAAAAAAAGACTTAAAATCAAACTTAATCAAGGAGATTTTGAACTCAAAGAATTGAACCACAATGAACTCAAATGAATAAAGAACTTGATTCAAATTTGACTTGAGTAGTTGAACTCAAGTTAAGACTTGAAGCACATACACATAACATAACTTGAATCATTTGCAAGAGAACTTGGTTTGAACCAAGTGAAGGGGACATAGAACTTAAACTTGAATCAATCATGGACAATGTGGGACTCAAGCTTGAATTGAGTTACATGGAATTTGAATGACATCAAATTGAATATGTGACACATGATATAATATTGGTAAATATGTCCACATTAAATGTAATAGAGCATATACAAGACTTGCAATTAATATAAGACTTGGACAATCTAGCCTACAAGCATCATTTATTCACAAATTATGATGAAGAATCATGCAACCAAATGCCATCAAAAATGTTTGATTCATGTAAATCTCATGCAAGTAAGCAAAGATCCATGATGGACATTTGCAAGTTGATGGTAATAAGAACATTGAGACATCCCCATAGTCAAAGCAAACAAAAACATTGCCCTCCTACGCTCTACTTCAAAATCTCATCATGTGTACAACGTAATATTCACAAAAGAATATAGAAAAAGTGCAGCAATGGTGGCAGTACCTTGTGAATGATAAATGAACATGTCATATGCAAGCAATGATAATAGGAGAATTGCAAGTAAGGTGGTATCTCTACAAATATATACAATGCAATATATGACAAATTCTTAGCACTTGTTGGCAGTGATAGAAGATTCTTCGTAGGCATAGTAGTAGTAACCGACAATGGGCAATGCATACTACCATACCCCACAATCAACAACTATCCAATGACAGCCGGATGCATCATCCTCCTGCAAGTGAAGATGTATGATATGAAGCAAATACCAATGTTTAAAATTGCGTATTCGGGTATTGAGGGGTTTTTCATTCATGAGGCGAGGCGTAAGCCTTAAGGCGTTTTGAGTCGTAAGCCTCAAAATCAAAAGTTTGCGTAAACATAAAATGATAATTTTTTTATATACTAATGAGTGAATAATATAAAACATAAAACAACATAAATATAAAGTAAAATCAAAATATCTCAATAATAAGACAACATGAATATAGTTCAACTCAAAATTCTATATTTTCCAAATCCCAGTATTCTTTTCATTAACATATAATTCCAATTTCCAAAAACAAATAGCAATGACATATCACACAAGAACTCATAAGTCATCAACACTGTCATCACTAAGGGGTTCTTCATTTGAATCATGATTATGATGAACTGCTCTCTCCCCTTTCTCCTCTCCTATAGAGTTCAATGTTGGGCATTTACTTCAAGATTTATGTAAGTTTTAATATATATATAGCGTGAGGTGTAAGCCTCATGCCAGCGAGGCGAGGCGGGCCTAAACCAAATTGAGGCGCAAGCCTCATAAAAAAACTCGAGGCGTAAGCATCGAGGCGTTTTTTACTGGAATTGCGCAAAGGAGAGCCTCATATTGCGCAATTTTAAACCATGGAAAATACAAATACCTACAAACTATTGTAGGGAACCTATCATATCCACAAAGTACTATCCACAAGCAGCTATAGAAGATCTTTAACAAGTGCAAGTCCTTATGACCTAAAGCAGGAGATTAGTTAGTGCACTACAATTTACCTACGCAAATCATGCAAGTAGTGCACGACAGTCTACTTGTACAAAGCAGCAAATAACTGATCCAGAAGCTGCTACTTCACGCCACCGGATCTGCAACACACATATAAGCAGACAGAACGCGTCTACAAGTTACAATGCCACACCACCGGATCCGCAACTTCTATGCAAACGGACAGAAGGCGTCTACAAATAGTTTCAAAGTACCCTCGCACGTACACCATAGTTTGTATACACATAGGTACACTAATAGGGGTAAAAGCAATCATAAAACCTGTATGGACCCCGACAAGTGTGTTATTGGTACACACGTGACGTCTAGGGATGTTGCGCGGGTCAATAAATTCGAACCCGATCTTCCTAAGTAATAGGAGTCGACAAGGTTCAACAAATAACTATTAAATGCCCTCAAACACCCGCATGGGCCCCGACGAGCATGTTGTGGGAACACATGTGACGTCTAGGGATGCTACGCGGGTCAATAAGTGAATTCAAGTTCGAATCCGATCCTTCTATACGGATCAATAGAAGTTGACAGGATTCGAACAATCAAAAAAATATACGGTTGTGGCGACCATCATATTTATTTAATACATTCATATTATGCCTTCAAGGCCTATAATCAAGAGAATTCTCTAACAAAGGCATAAAGCCTACGAAACCCGATCCCCTATCAGCAAGTTGATATGATCGACAAGGTACAAGCTTTAAATAGAAATGACCCCTCACACCCCGATGATGGCCGTGTTGAACGAAGATCTCAACCGGAGGGGTTAATTCCAAATATTTTCAAATGCTATCCCAAATACCCAAAAAATCCAAAAAAAAATCCAAAAATCCCAAAATTTCAAAAGATCTTCCAAATCCAATATATTTAAAATTAAAATTAAATCATCAACCACTTAAAGCAAATCTATCAACCATCCGCAACAGTTTGCTGGGGTGGACAAATTAAAATTTACTTCAGCTCACAGAGAACTAAATGCCTAGTTGAAAATATCACTAGGATTCATTCTCAAACAATTTCCTGCCAATAAGGATGTGGTATATGTCCTCTAACCGGCGATTTTGTCGCCAAATGGCACCACAGGATAAACGGTTATGACTCGGGGCCCTCTGAACCGGATGTTTTGACGTCAAATGGCACCACAAAATACCGGTTATGGCCAAAGTCAGTACACTCTTTAGTGGCATCAAATCCTTGAGATATGAATCAATGGGATATAATTGATAGGGCACAAAGCCCTCTGTTAGCTAAGGTGGATTCAAATTTGTCCCCTTAGACAAACATTCACCCCAGATCTACAAGGTCCCCTTAGACGAAGGAACCCATGGCTGCTGACAAGGATCCTTCTGTCAGGTTGGGTCGACTAGCTCCTCTGACTAAGTAGACCAGAGACCATGATGGCCCAAGATGATGGAACAATGGGATCTTGATCGGGTTCATCATCCATTCCCCCACCATCCGCTTTAAGTGTAAGATGGTGAAATTTCTATTTTAAATATCAAATTTTCCAAACATTCAAACATTTCCAAATCCAAACCAGTGCTGCTACTATATGCCATATAACATGTATTTCTACGTATCTGATTAACGACTAGCCTTAATCAAAAGTTCTCTCTCATTATCGGGAGGGGTAATTAATTATAGGGGCTTGTGCCTATAGGAAACCAGAACTCAGATCATAAAGTCCTCACAAAATGAGGGTGAAATCTCTGGGTAGTGTCTTATCTACTAATCCATCTGCCTTCCAAAATTTACCCCGGAACTAACTCCATTAAAACTCCCTCGCCGAAGATAAATGAAAAATCATCAAGCGGTGAAGGCCGGGGCCGAATTTTCAGAGCCTACAATGATATTGAAGGCCAAACAATAACCCCTAAAGCTAATCATATTATTCCTTGTAATGAGTAGTTGAAGCTTGATATTGTACTAAATAGTTTTTGCTTATATTTTTGTGGTTATACTAGACATTTTATACTATAAAATAGATAATTAATTATGATATTGATTTATGATTTATTATTGTTCCAATGATGATGATATTGAAGGCTCGAAAGGGCGCGGTTTTATGTGATCATCTAAGACGACTCTCTCTAATCTTATCTACCACTGGATCTACTCCAACCTTTTCATGTATATCCTGTCTCTAAGAGTAAAGCCACTCATCCACCTAAGCATCCTCATCTCTTCAACACTTAACTAAATATTATGCTTCGCTTATAATGGTCAATATTCTGCGCCATAACTTAATGTTAAGTTGCACGAATTATCAAATTCCACCAAAAAATCACGATAACCATTATTTTTCACCCATTGAATCCCATTTTATCATCTTTAACTCTGGACTTCAAAGCATGACCAGTTATTGAATAAAGGATCTTAACCAATGCTCGATCCTAGGGCACATTCTTCAACTCTTATATTTCAAGAGCATTCTGTTAATGGAGCATAGGCCTGTAGTATTTCTATTTTAACTTGTCCTCTATCTGGATCTTTAATCACTATTAGGCTTCATTGAAGTCAAGGCACTTAGGATGCTTGTATATGTGTGGCATTATCTCCCTCATAATGGTGCATCAGTACATAATCAAGTTTTGAGTTTTCCGTAGGATGTTGAGAGTGATGCAAGAATAGATTGCAACAAAACGCACATACACACCCCATACTGTAAGTGCCGGACAGCACACCAGTACAACTGATAACAAAATTTAGTTCATGTGTAACAGTGTCAGAGCCAATATTGCATCATTAATCTGGAGGAATACTTAACATTGATGAAGGAATACTAATGTTTTTCCTTTTATCATCTTTTTATTCATTTTTGGAGTATTCCCAAGTTATAGGTCTCCTCAGGAGTATAAACAAGGTCATTTCATATAATGACTAATTATATTATTTTGATGATGAGTATGGTTAGTTTTTGCACTCAAGGTGTAAAGTTTAATTTTTTCATCAAGTGTATTTGAGGACTTTTTAATTTTTTTTCGTCAAGATTGCAATAATTGTAAGTGTGATAAACAGAAAACTCCAAGTGAGCTAAATGGCACGGGTTCCAGGAAATTAACACTTGCTATACCGAATCTTTTTCTTCTCTTAGTCATTCAAGATAACCTAACAAAGAGACGAGCACACATAAGGAAAAGCTTCTCTTTCCAATCATGAAATAAGTTCATTCAAGAAGAAATCTGCGAGAACATATATAGCATAACATTTTTATGCGAACGTACCATGTTCCACATTTTCCAGTACTGTTGCGTAGGCAAAGAAATCAGTACATGCAAAAGTGGAATAAAAAACAGGATAAGTAAGAGAATTTGGCCACATAATCTAATATGAACATTGGCAAAAGAATTGAGAAATTACTCCAGAATGAAGTGCAAACTTGCATATTAACAAACCTCTTCAATTGTTTTTGCATTCCACCAATCTTTATAGAACTCACGATCACCAAAACGAAGGACCTCACCAAGGATATTTAACCTATAATTTTGAAACAAAGAAAATTGAAATGAAATCAGAGCATTAAAGATGCTTCTCAGGGGTTGTTTTAATCTCCAGAAATTAATGTTTAATCACCATTCTCACTGTCTACATCAATAAAATGATGCTAAAAAGGGTGTTTTTAGAGAATATTTTTAAAACAATGGGCTGTCAGTCTCACATAAGAATTGTAATGAAGAGTATCTTACCAAAGATGGAAAAAACAATAGAACATGCAAAGCCACACGTACAGTACTGGAAGCGAGAGTCTCAGAACTCTCTCAATAGCATTCAGGAAATTTCCTTTTAATGGGTGCTCAGAGTTCTTGATAATTGGGTTGACGTACTGTAAAGTTCTTTAAGATCGCATAAAAATATATCTTAAAATTCATTTCAAGAAGCAAAGATGATGAATTGTTTACCTGCTCAATTATGAATCCCATGAATCCAGTAAATATGACCAACTGAATAAACTGACAGATCAACCAGCCTCTTCTAATGCACATACTGCGTGGGTAGCTTAGCTTCAAATTACATTAAAAATTTGATTACTACACACATTAACTACATATGCTTCACAGAGGAAACGAAAAAAAAAAAGGGGGAATACTCAACCATAACTTTCTTTCTGCTTAAATATAGTAATAACTGATAATATAGACAGTAAACTAAAACATAAGTCTAGTGATTAAGCATCCACTCAACAATTTGAAGGGATTTTGAGAAAGGTAACTGTTGGTTGTAATTGTTGACCTGTACTGCGGCATACAAAAAAAAAACGTAAAATCCCATACCTGTCCGCCATATCTTCGCACGTCGTCAACACCTTTCGCACGTCGCTCGCACTCCGACGTCGCTTCTCTCCATGATCTCCTCCACGAGTCGTTAAAAGCCCGAAGAATCGAAGCCTTCAGGGCTCTCTTTTCTTTTTGCTCTTCCTCTCGCACGCTTCTTTGGCGTCCTTCGTCGCTGTTCGACTTTGTCCCTTCAACGACATTCCCTTCAAGTCGAATCGGAAGTTACAACACCTTTTTGATTGGAAGCTAGGGCGGGAGCTCCATTCGCTGCGAAGATCGGAAGCAACGACGGAACTCACTGCGAAGATCGGAAGCAATGACGGAACTCGCTGCGACGTTAAGTTTCTCCATTCCAGCGCGCTTCCTCGGCTCCTTCACGGCTACTCGACTTCGCGCCATCAACGACATTCCTTGTCGTCAGATCAAGCTTCTCCGGTTCCTACGTCGTTGTTCGACTTCGCCTCTTCTACGAATTCCCTTTCCCATCGAATCGAAAGTTCAACATTTTGATCAGAAGCAATACGGGAGCCCACTTGCACTGAAGGCAACTTTCTCTCTGTCGCGTACTCCTTCGGCGCCCCCGCTGTTGTTCAGCTTCACTCATTCGACGACGTTCCCTTCTTATCGGATAGAAAGCAACGACGGGACCTCCTTCACAGTGAAGGTAACTTGCTCCTTCCCGCACGCTCCTTCGGTCGAATCCTGTAAATGTGCCAAACCAGAGAGAGGTAGGGGGAAAGAGAGGATTAATGAATTAATTAAGTTTAATTAAAGTTAATTTTAATTAATTTTAATTAATTTTAATTATAATCATTTTAATTAATTATAATTAATACATTCTTTAACTTCAATTAATTATTATTAATTAAACATAATTGATTAAAATTAATTAATATTAATTAATTATAATTAATTAAAGTTAATTATAATTAATTATATTAATTAATTATAATTGTTATAATTAATAAATATTAAATCGTGTCCGACACACGTATCTTAAATATTTTATGAATTTTTTTAAATATAATTTATTGTATTTTGTTTGATTTAAACTAAATTTTTTATTTCCTATCCACAACACCAAATCAACGTCCGCACTTAATACCCAATCATCGAATATTCTAATTTTCATTTATTTTTGGCAATGAAAGTATTTTCATCTCCTCTCTCGGTGACTGATAAACGGCATCGACGCCTGACTCTCGACATCCTAATATTAATCATTTTAAGCACAAATTTTAGTTAAATGGCTTATTATTTTCAAATTATTTTTATAATTATATTTATTTAATTTTAATACACTATTTTTAAATATAAAAACTATAATACCGTGTCCAACCTATGTCTGTGTCCTATATTTTCAATAACTGACATGTCCCGTGTCCATGTCGTATCCGTGTCGCCGTGTCCGTGTCTGTGCATCATAGGTGCGACATATACGACGAGGCAGGTAGGCTAGGTGCGCACTTTTCTTAGCGTGGCTGGGACAACTTTAAGTGCCAGTACGCGGCTCTTTACCTGTGGGGAAACAACTATTTTTCTTTTGCAACAGGAACTGAAGACCCATACACGCCTTTCTCTGGCGTGATGAGATTGAAGATTTCACGGCCGCGGTGTCCGAGGACACCTACCGTACACGCTTTTCTCTAGTGTGATGGGAGGCTCAATTTTCTATAGTTTCCCCTAAACGGGGGAGACGCTGGGAGGCTGTCGAAATTTCGAGTGAACAAAAGACCGCACTTAAACATGATTTGAACTTAAAGGACAACAGGGGACCTAGCATTAAGCAAACATAATTGAACTTAAGCAGAATGACAAAGAACTTGAACCAAAGGGGATTTGGACTTGGACTTGATATGTGAACTCGAAATGAACATTAAATGAACTAAATCATACTCAAATCAATCATGAAATAAATCCAAGTCATCAAATAAAGAACAAGCCTTCAGTACACTCAAACGAACGTTGATGCACAAATGAACCTATGATACAACTTGCTTGCAAGCATGGGTCAACAAAATCAAAAGGGAATGCAATAGTATAAGTGCAGATGATTGTACAAGTTTCTCAACAAATGAATAATATGAAACTCATAGTGCTCAAGTCAATCAATATATGAAAAAGAAAAAGGGACCTATAATACAAGTGTTCATCCCAAAGGCAAAAATCAAGGACTTGTAATAGCATTAACCATCATCCTATAAATATAAGCAAAGAGATTATGATGAATGCAAGGAACTCCCACAACAGTTCCTATGAGGTCAAGTGTATTGTACTTGCAAGCAATAACAGTCATGTGTAGAATGCACGAGTATCTCCCACAAGTACTAATGAAATCCCCAACATAAGCAACAGTGCCTGTGAATGGAGATGGTAACACTTGCAATTAATGAAAGACAACTTGTCGTACAAGTAGTGGTCCGCTTGTAGATTGAAATGGAGGCACCTGAAATTAACAAGGGAAACATATCTTGCATACAACAAGTCACATCAAGATAACAGGCATTGAATACATCAATGCCTTGAAGATGACACCATCAATCTGTGTACAACCCGCCCTGTAAACAAGTACAATCAATGACCACCTGAGATTGGTGAAAAGTGGATATGGTGCAAGAATGATGGCTCTTCTGCGAACACTTCTAGGAGATCTTCATTTGTGGATAACAACAGTGAGCATATCATAAATACAATGAACCCCTATGGACACAAGTACAGATAACACCCGCAGTAATGATGATTGAGATGTTGTCTGGGAAGTGCAAATGATCTTCAAAGTTTGGCATGGTGACACAATATACCACGCACACTTATAGTGCTGCGGTACCACCTTTGCCGACACTGTTCAACCAAGGAATATAAATACCTGCTAGTTTCTTGAACAAAATCCACCCGTAAAAAGGATATCTCCTGTAAGAATGGAGGAGATGTTTGAACAAATTCGAACTAAACTTCTTGGTGTTACAAAATTTCTCCTTGATTCTATACTTGGGAAGAAAACAATTATGATATCCACGAACATTAGAAATGATAAGTGCACCCAGATACCTCTATTCATTTTGAAGGTCAATTATGTGGTTACGAATGTTACATCTTGTAGAGGTCTACTACACTTTAGATCTTGAAAGGAATTCTTTTCAAATCATCAGTCATTGATTTCAAGAAAGGCCTCCTGGTGAACAAGAAAAGGGAGTAAACATCATGATAATGAGGTGCTTCATAACATCCATATGATAACGCCACCGGATCTGCAACCTTCGTACAAGAAGACAGGAGTCAACAAAGCCTGAAATAAAGCCCTATGCATTTAGCAATAATAATACTTATACAGTTGGACACTCCTTCGTATTGCAAGCAAACATCTTAAAGTGCCCCCGCACATTCACTATAATATGTATGCACATAGGTACACAAAAGAGATAAATGCAACCGCAAAACCCACATGGGCCCCAGCGAGCGTGTTACGGATACACATATGACGTCTAGGGATGTTGTGCGGGTCCATAAATGAATGTGGTTCGAGCCCAATCCTTTTATATGGATAGATAGGGGTCAACATGGCCCGAACTATCAAATAGATATACGGTCAGGATATCAATCAGAATACTTGTTTTATACGTTCCTATAAGGCCTTCAAGGCTTTGAACAAAGAAAGTTCATCAACAAAGGCATGAAGCCTACGAAACTCAATCCCCTATTAACAAGTTGATAGGGTTGACAAAGTTTAATCAACGAAAATGACCCCAAACACCCCGATGATCGTCGTGTTGAATGCAGATCTCAACTGAAGGGGTTAATTTCAAATATTTTAAAATGCCCTCAACCTTTCACAAAATTCAGATATTTTTAAATGACTTCAAAGTCACCCTGATGATGGCCGTGTTGAATGCAAATCTCAACCGGAGAGGTCCATTCCAAATATTCAAAATGTCGACCAAATCCAAAATCCAAGAATCCTGAAATCCCAATTCTAAATATTTAAAATTGAAATAAACCATCAAATGACTTAAAAGCAAAATTCATACACCCTCCGCAACAGTTTGCCGAGGTGGACAAGTCTGAAAACTACTTCTGCTCACATGGAGCTAATGTCTAGTCGAAAATATCACTATAAACAATCTTCTGCCAGTAAGGACGTGATATGTGTCCTCTAACCGGCGATTTTGTCGCCAAATAGCACCGCAGAATAAACGGTTATAACCTGGAGCCGCCTTCTGAATTGAGTGATTTTGCCGCCAAATAGCACCACGAGATAACGATTATGACCAGAGCTAATACGTTCCTTAGTAGTATCAAATCCTTGAGATATGAATCAATATGATATGATCAATATGCCACAAAGCTCTTTGTCAGCTAAGGTGGATTCAAATTTGTCCCCTTAGAAAAACATTCACCCCAGGTCTACAAGGTACCCTTGGACGAGCAACCCATGGCAGCCGATAAGAATACTTCTGTCAGGTTGGGTCGACTACCTCCTCTGACCAAGTAGACCAGGGACCACGATGGCCCGGGACCATGGGATCTTAATCGAGTCCATCATCCATTCTCTCACCATCCGCTTTAAGTGCAAACATGCATCCCACAAGAAAATACATATTTTATGAAAACCTACCAAAAATCCATAGACCATTTGGGTTCAAAATATTTAATTTGTTTATTCCAACAACTATTCATGAAGTATTTGATAATCAAAAAGAATAACACATGGAGTGTTGTTATCTGCCTAA